GGAGGAAGAGGCAAGCAGATCTCTGTGAGTTTGAGGCCAGTCTGGTCTACAGAGCAAGTTCCAAGACAGCTTCCAAAGCTACACAGAGAAACCCTGTCTGGGGGTGGGGGGATCCCTGTGCCTCTGTGCTGAGTCTCCCCTCTCGCAGAGAAACTGCTGTCCTTCATGTTCTGGCAAAGGACCATCTGCTTATGTTGAGTTCTGCCTCACCGTTCTTTTATTTTCATGTTGCTTCCATCAATTTCCACCATTAAAAAATTCCCTCCCTTTGCCTGGGATGCCTGCTTTTTCTCTTGAGGTGACTGTGACTGCTGTGGTCCATAAGTGGTCAATCACCAAGGTATGATACCTTCCATGAACTGGACCTATCATTACTCTGGACAGCCTAGTGACAGTGGCAGGTCCCCATCCTCGAGGGAGTTTGGATGCAGAGAGCAGACACAGCCCTTTGCCCCACTGAAGATGAGACATGAGTATCAGTCTCAAGTTCAACCGTATTCAAAAGGTCCAATGCCCTGAGGCAGGGTGTGATGTGAGACACTTACGGTTGAGAGAGAAGCAAGACACGGGTTGGAAAGTGACTGGCTGGAAGGGAGAGACCTCACCTTAACTCCTGCTTGTTATAGACAGGGCGCGCCCTATACCACAAGTGTGGGTGGGGCACTAGAGGAGTGAGTACTGTGTTTGTGATAAGAAAGAATTGATTGCCCTGGGGGCTGGGAATGCGGCTCAGTTGTAGTAAGTTAGTATGCTTGAGGCCAGAGGCTCCATCCCTAGCAGTATGTAAGGATAGGGGTGGGGGATACTGGGGCTTGATGACCCATACCTGTAATCCCAGCACTCAAGAAGCTGAAACAGGAGGATCTCTGTGAGTTTATTGCTGTCCTGGGCTATACAGTGAGTTCTAGGCCAGCCTATGCTACCAGTGTTGAGATCCTGTCTCAAATTTTTAAAAAGCAAAGATCACCCGTAGTGTAGTTGCATAGCACAAACTGCAGGGGGCAGGATGGAGACTGCAGCAGAGGCAGAAACCGGGAAAGTCCTTAGCATAGACAGCCTGGTGAGAGTCTTTTGCGTAGCCTGGAGTGACCTGATATCCACTGTGACCCTGAAACAGGGAGAGGTAGATGTGGGTCTGCGTTGGGTATAACTGAGAAGAATGAGGAAATAAGGAAAAGAGAAAACAGAAAATGCCTGGTTTTGTTTGTTTTTAACCTGAACAGCTAGGCTTTTGGTAGTGTCTGCTTGTGAGGGGACATCAGGATGGATTGGGATAGGGCAAGAGGAAGCCAGAACCCGCTTTTGGCCATGGAGTCCTCCAGAGGCTCCAAGGGGAAGTGCTGGGTAGTAAAGTTCATCTAGAGTTCTCAGCAGGGAAGTCTTGGCCAGAGATAAAGGTCCCAGATTCAAAAAAAAAAAAAAAAAAAAAAAAAAAAAAAAACATAATCTGTGAAGCTGATGTAGGAAGAACTGATATAGGAGTAACAAGCAGGTATTACAAGAGATCTACTAAACTTGCTCCGTAAATACTAAGTTACACAAAGTCAGATTTGGCTACAGGAGCACATAGGATGAACGGGCTCCTTAGAAACGGTAGAGAGAAAGAATCTGTGCTTCTAACATAGCTGAAGGTTAGAGTCTCTGTTCAAAACTGATAGGGATCGCCGTAAGAGAAACAAGGGAGAGAAGAAGACAGTCTTCGATCTCAATAGGTTGCTTTATTGGAACAGCCAGGGGCTCCAACCTTGGGATGAAGGTTGGGTGTACTCCATGGGGCTGGGGACATGTACAATATACATAGGTAGCTACTAGGAAGTTACAGCTATTTTTTTCAATGGTTTGACTGAGTAGGGTAGGTTGTTTTCAGTACCCCAGTGTATTGTTTGTACAGGTGGCACACACACTGATCAGGCTTTAGCCAAGCAATTCTTTATGGCTAGGGGTGATTGCCCACCCAGCCTGACTCATTTCCTCATGAACTGAGGCTATTAGTCAACAATTTCTGTTCAGGGCTGGCTCCCTTTTGTGCATTAACCAGAAATAGTCACCTGCTCTTATTACAGTTTTCCTGTATTAATCTCTTAACTGCTCAGAATGATTTCTCACTGGAAAGTCGTGTTAGTTCTATGACAAAGCCACAGGCAACTTAGGACAAGAGAGCCAAAGATAGAGCCTCAGGTTCACTGTCACTCAGAGGTGACAGAGGCGGAGAAAAGGTGTCAGTGCCTTAGCAGAAGCAGCCGGTGTTGTAGGGGAAAGGCAGAGTGGGGTGTCACAGGCATGGGGAACTGTTGGCGCAGGGACACTGGCATGTGGCTCCAGTGCTGAGAGGTGAGATCAGAGAACAGCTTCTGGCTTCAGCAGAGTTGAGATCACCAGTGGCCAGGGGGGCTATGCCCTGAATAGTGGAAACAAAGGGCCAGCAGAGAAGATGGGGAGAGGAGGCGGAAGAGCAGCTGACAGGGGACCGAGCTTTGCGGAGAGGCTGGTGGTGGGGCAGGGTATAAACAGACCTCGCTTCCAGAAGGGGAATATCACAGGAGCGAGGCTTGAGAGGGAGCTGGAAGCAAGAGGGGCCGTGCAGGGTCTAGGGCTGGTGAGCAGGGCTGGGGCGGAAGTTAGATGGCCCTAGTGAGATAACTTCCTTTGTTGTGTTCTTTCCTTCTCTTTCTTTTGAGAAAGGGCTCCTATATTGCCCTCTTACCTGGCCTTGTACTCACTATGTACACCAGGCTGGCTTTGAACCCATAGGACTGCCTACCCCTGCCTCCCATGCCTAGCTGGCTTCTGTTGAGGCTGGGGTATGAGAGCTCTGGGAACGCGGATCTGGGTGAGCTACCTCAGGGGACTCTGGGGGTGTGTTGGAGGAGTGGGGGCCCCAGGGAGACATGTGGACTGCATTTGAAAAGTGGTCCATTCACACAGGTGTGCTGGTTCTCAGGCAGAAGACTAATTCAGGGAGAATCTGGAGTCATCCCAGATGAGCAGGATTGGATAAAGACTTGGGCAAACTTTTAGATGTGACAGTCATAATTACAGCATGTGAGTGAGGGCACTGTTAGGGCATGGTGGGTTAGGGGCTTGGAGGTCTCAGAGAATGGCCAGTGTGGAAATTAATACACGCCCGAACCAGAGCAGCAGGTAGAGCTCAGAATGGGAGGAAGGAGGTTAGGAGGAGGTCCTAGTTAGGGTTACTATTGCTGTGATAAAATGCCATAACCAAAAGCAAGTTGGGAAGGAAAGGGTTATTTATTTATTTATTTATTTATTTATTTATTTATTTGAGACAGAGTTCACTGTTTAGATCTGGCTGTCCTGGAACTTGCTTTGTAGATCAGGCCAGCCTCAAACTCAGAGATCTACCTGCTTCTTCCTGCCAAGTGCTGGGATTAAAGGTGTGCACCACCACCAGCAAGAAGGAAAGGATTTATTTGGCTTACATTTCTACATTATAGTCCATTGTTGAAGGAAGTCAGGACAGGAACTCAAACACAGAAACCCTGTCTCAAAAAAGAGAAGGAAGAAGGAAGAAGAGGAGGAAGAAGGAAGGAAGGGAGGAAGGAAGACCTTACTGGAGACATAGAAAGGGGCCGTTTCTTTCTTCTGTAAATGGGAGAACAGGCCTGGTGATGTTAGATGCACTGATCTCAGCTCTGGGGTGAGGTAATGACAGTAGATGTTGCTGTCATTGCTCCTTCCCTTATGCAGCACCTGAAGCTTTCTCCCTGTCCCAGGAACATGCTCCCTTAGTGCCTCATTGTGTGTCTCGCCAGCCCCACAGCATCCTCCAGGAAACTCCTGGACCTATTAAGGAGGTCCAAAGAGCTTCTAGGTTCTAACCAAGCTGTATTTCTGTACACTTGGAGCCAGAGCTCATTCATTTCCTTACACACCCACTTCCTCCTTCGCTCACCCACTATCTTCCATCATTCATTCATTCATGAGTTTGAGCTGCTAAATCTCCACAAGGAATGAGTTCTCACTCATTGGCAAACTGCTCATCCAGCCCCCAGATAGCTAGGCTGCAGCTGGCTACTTCTCACCCAATCTATACCCAGAGCCCATCACGAGTTCCAGAGGCTGAGCGCGTGAGCTTCAAATGTTTTTCCTATGTTCAGATATCCAGGCCTTTTCATGTCTGTCGCATGTTTATCCCTCAGTCATGTACATGTCATGTGTGCCACCTGTCAGTCTTACTTGCCTCTGCCTTCATAACAGGCCTGAAAATGATACCACTTGTCATTGATCAAATTTCACCTAGTGTTTTTCACTCCAGTGCCAATTTAACCCAGGACCTTGTACATATTAGACACTACCATCAAACTATATCCCCAGCCCTTCAGAAGTTTCTACATGTGCCTATAAATTTCTGTAAACACTCAAATAAACACAGAAATCTCTCAAATATACAAAAGCAAGGCTTGCCCATTGGGAGAGCAAAACTCAAGCAATGCAAAAGCACACAAAATATAAAGTCTGGGCTAGAGAGATGGTTCAGCATTTGGAGCACTGACAGCTCTTTCATAGGACCCAGGCAGGATCAATTTCCAGCACCCACACTGTGGCTCAGACTGGAACCTGAGTTCCAGGGGATGATGCCCCCTCTGGCTTCCCAGGGTACTGCATGCACAGGCAGATCTGTGAGGGCAAGACTAGCCCTGTATATAAGAGTTCCAGGACAGTCAGGAATGTAGAATGTAGAGGAACTGTCTAGAAGGGGGGGGGGGGATCCCATACCTAACCACCAGCACACTGCTTCGCCAAGTTTGCTGTGCAGTTCATATCCTTTTAGAATTGTTGGGACAGGAACTGGGGACTTAACTCAGGGTCTAGGCAAATTCTCTACCACTGAGCTACATTCCCAGTCCCTCTTCCCTACTCACCCAGGCTGACTTTAATCTTCCTGCCTTAGATTCTGGAATAGTTGAGAATATAGGACTGTACCACAGCACCTGGCTCCTCTAGATCTTAATACGTAGAGAAACACAAACACACACATCTTAAAATGTAATGGTGGAGTTTATTTTACAAACCACAGCTGCTCTGAACTTCCCTTTTATCCCAACAGTAAAAGACTGTCACCTGATGTAGGTCAGAACAGCAGATCCTCATGCTTAGGGGAAGGGTGGATAAATATCGGTGGCATGAACTGATAGTGCAAGGTCACCTCTGAAAAGGTGACATCTCTTCCACTCCCACCAACAGTAGTGACTGAAATGGCAATAGAAGTCCTTTCAGGGGGCTGGAGAGAGGGCTCAGCTGTGAAGAGCACTGGCTGCTCTTCCAGAGGACACAGTTCAATTCCTGGCAGCTACCACTTGTAACAGTTCCAGGGGACCCAACGCCGTCACAGATACACATCGAAGCAAAACACCAATGAACATTAAAAATAAAGTTATTCCAGGCACTGAGCTTTGGGAAAAGCCACTCTTCAGGCCATACCACTGTTGCTGCAGAGAAAATTAAAAGCCTTATTACTATCTTCAGTGACAGGCAGGTGACCTGCCACAGGTCAAAACTCCATCCATCTGTGGGACTTCTCCAGTGTCTGAAAAGGAAGGCTGGCCTTATGTTTACTGCAGCACAGATAGCAAAGACAAGGGCTAGGTAGAGGTACCTAGCACCCCTGCTGAGCACCAACGAGTCTTCTTCCCTTTAGGGGTTAATTGTGGGTGGGGCTAAGATGCAGTGCCTGGGACCCAGGCTCAGCAGAAAGAGTAGGGTAGGGTCTGCCACCCTTCCCCCTCCAGGAGATTTGGTAGGCATCACTCCACAGATGTCTAACCACTTGCCTCTCCAGGCTTCCTCTCCACCCTACCTTCTAGAAGGTTTTCTGACCTATATGTATCCCCTTAAGAGTCCCATGCTTATCAAGTCTGGTCTCCCAGACAGCAGAGATGAGATCCTGGGAACTCTCCAGTTCATTTCTTTAGTACCTGCAGGCCCCAGGGATCTTAAGGTCAAAGCATTCATTCACAGCTTGGATGAACAATCCTCCCAGGCAGGTAAGTGTTATTCACCATTGGAAGGAGTTGTCAGGAGCTTAGCCTCTGAACTGGTCTCCATCACTACTTCCCAGCCAGAGACAGCCCAGTCAGTGAAACTTTTAGCAAGTAATTTGTCTTGTGCTTGGCTGTGGAGGTACAGTGGGGTCCCTCTGAAAGATGGCTCAGAGTCCGTGCAGTTCAATCTCCTATCTCCTCCAGGCAGAGAGCTGTCAGGTCAAGGTTTACATTCCACCAGAATGACCTCTGCTTCTCACTGCAGGCTTGAGAGTTGGGACACAGACCAAGGATCCAGTTTAGCAGTTGGGGAGGGACAGGGTGAGAATAATAAATTAAGTCAAATTATCAGAGACATTATGATGTTTCAGAGTTTCGAAGTCCTGGGCTTGATCCAAAAAGTTTGTGAGGTAGCTCAAAGGGCTGGGTTGTCAGGACTTCTCATTTGACCAGCAGGGTCTTCAGGCCTGAGGCTGTAGGGAGGAGGTGGCTCTCCAGGCTTCATCATGACCTGCAGCAGAAAAAGGGGTACTTAGTTTGCTTCAGGCCTGGGTAAGTAATGGTGAAGCTGGTTGGCAGCACCCCCCCCCCCAGTCTGTTACTTCAACAAGTTAGAGACAGAAAGACTCACCTGATTATAAGGTGGTGGGGGGTTCAAGGGGGTAACCCAGATCATCTCTAGGGGGGCAATGGGAGGAGGTGCTTCTGGGGGTATCTGATGATTCGCTCTGAGGTTCTGCTCTGGCTTTCTGCACTTCTGACAGAAACGCTTCAACAAGCCACAGATGCACAACAGAGGTATCATGACCAGGGAGATGATGAACAAGACCCTGGGGAGGGAATGATATCTTTCTGACTGAGAGCCCACGCCACTCTCCATCACACACCCCCATTCTATTTCAGGGGGACCCAGCCCTCTGAATGGTACCCAGAAGGGCTGACCCTGCCTGGGCTCACCTTAAAGAGTCGCTTGAAGAATCCCATATGGTTTTCTTATCCAGGCAGCATCCACTGTCACAGCATCTGAATCCTTCAGGACAGGGTCTGGTCAAGTCAAACAGGGATGGGGAGACACCGATGGCACCGTAAGTGTCAGAACAAAGGGTCCTTGCCTCCCCAGACACCTATACCCTCAGGTTGCAAGCCACCCTTGGTGGGTGTGGGGTACAGATCCATCCTGGATATGCTGGGAGGAATATGCTGGCCTGGACTTGAGACCTGAGCTCAGGATTCCTCTGGCAGAATGGCCATGCTACTAACTTTACAGGGCAGGCATGGGGCTCCAGTGTGGCTTTGCTCATTTGACTCACTCTCCCAGATCAGAAAGGTTGGGGATTAACAGCAGCCACAGACCTGCCCCAATCATGCAGCTCCCAATGTTGGGTGGTAGGAGAGAGAGGGTATGGTTTCAGCAAAAGTAGGTTGGGAGTGAGGAAATGTCTGTCTCTTATCCAGGGATATCTGAGCAACCCCCTCCACACACACCCCCCAAGCCTTGACAACTATAGCCAAAGTCCCATACTTACATGGAGTCACATTTGAATATAACCTGTGGGAGAAAACAGGCAGAGGTCAGAGCTTAAAACTGGGAGTTGAGCTGGGTGGTGATGGCGAATCCCCAGCACTCAGGAGGCAGAGGCAGGCGGAATCTGAATCGAGACCAGCCTGGTCTACAGAGCAAGTTCCCCAAAGCCACAGAGAAACCCGTTTTTTTGGGGGGGAGCAAAAAACAAAAACAAAAAGTCAAAAAAAAAAAAAAAAAAAAAAAAACTGGGAGTTGGGTCTCAATTCTTATAGTGCTTGTCCAGCACACACTAGGTTTTGTTGGGTTCAATATCCAGCAATGACAATAAATCGGGTGTGCATAAACCCGAATAGTGGTACATGTCCACGGTCCCAGAACCCAAGAAGACAGGAGAATCATTCAAGTCTACATAGCCAGTTTGAGGCCAGATTGGATACCTGAGAGACTGTCTCAAAAAGAAAAGTCAGAGGCCTGCCTGTCTCAGACATTGCTCCAGACATCTCAGCCTCAGACTGCCTCTTCCTAGCTCTATATCCAGGGTCAATGATTGGAGCCTGCCTCTGCCTTCCAAGTGTCTGGATTAAATTAAAGGCAGGCACTACCATGTTTCATTCTTACTGCTTTAAAAAAAAAGAATTCTTTGAGACAGGCAGGGTCTCACTATGTAGCTCTGGCTAGCCTGAAGTTTAGGTCTACCTGTCTCCGCCTCCAGATTGCTGGATTAAAGGTGTGGACCAATACACCTGATTCCTAGGTGATTTCCCCTGCCACGCCCACACACAGCTGGGGATTGGCCCAGGAAGCCACCCTGAGTGGATCCCTGGCTCCAGAGCCTCCAGAAAGCAACCTAAGTCCCTCCTGCTCTGCACTCCATGTCCCAGATAGAGGCATCTCTAGGAGTTTCCTAAACACACTCAAGCCCCATTCATCCTCAGGTCCTTGCTGGGAATTCAGAGCCTCTAAACAGAATTCCATCCTGTTAACAGCAGTACTTACTGTGTCTGAGCTCTTAATTAGGACTCTCTTCTATGTGTCCTCAAGGCATCTCCCTCTCTGGCCACCTCACTTAATTAAAATTGCAACCATTGCCAGCTGTTTAATCCCAGGGTGGCAGAGGCAGGTAGATCTGTTTTGAGGCCAGCTTGGCCTACCTAGCAATTTCTAGAGCAGTCAGGACTAGACCCTGTCAACAGATAAAGAATGGGATAAAGCCAGCTTCTGGCTTTGCTAAAGATCATTACAATAGCATTTCATTTGCTAAGTAAAGACAAGGGAGCCAGTGACAGTCACAGGCTTACAGCAGCACTGTTCTTTAGTGAGGACAGGGGTAGGAAGTTAAAGACACAGCAAGGGGCCCAGGAAGTCACCCCCTGCTCTTCCAAATATCAGACTCTGGCCACTCCTCTCCTGGTCTCTGTGTAGCTCCATGTCCTAGAACTTGCTCTGTAGTGTCCTGAACTTGCTCTGCCTGTCAGTGTCCTGAGTGCTGGGATTAAAGGCGTGAGCTGCCACCAACCACCAAACTCCTGTATTACATTTAAGCAGGGGCAACAGTGGTCACACCCGCCTTTAATTCCAAGCCCACTTTTAATTCCAGGGCTGAGGTAGTAAAGGCAGGTGTCCATTGAGTTCAATATCAGCTTAATCTATAGTGGTATCCTATGTAAAAAATTTTAATGGCAGGTTAATAAACCAAACCAGGATTATTCCTGTTTCCATCTTAACCAGAGGGTGATCTGGGATGGTTAGGAGCCTGCAGTTTAGGAAGCTTGGAGTGGGATATTAAGCTGGATTTATTAGCTCTTAAGGGAGACTGTCAATGCCTATACTTGGGGCTGCACAGAGGGGTCAGAGGATGCTGGGGTCCAAGAGTATGAAGAGTGCCTTGAACAGAGAACTTCAGTTCCAGTGAACTGTCCTGAGGAACAGGCTTGGGATTTCACACCCACCCCAGATTCTCAACCAAGACTGTAAATTTAAAAGGCTTGTTCTGACCACCTCTCAATTTGCAGGGAAATCTGCCAACACAAGACACTTAAGAGTTTGGCTATGAAGTCGGGCGGTGGTGGCCCACGCCTTTAATCCCAGCACTGGGGAGGCAGGCAGATCTGAGTTTGAGACCAGCCTGGTCTACAAGAGCTAGTTCCAGGACAGCCTCTAAAACCAGAGAAACCTGTCTCGAAAAACAAAACAAAACAAAAAACAAACAAACAAAAAATTTGGCTATGAGGAACAGTTTAGGGCAGCGCTCAAAACCTTGCCTCCCTGAACCACCCAAGTCAAAGGCCACCCAGCCGGAGGCCAGGTCTACTCGGAGGACAAGCTACAATTCAAAGAAGTCCAGACAGCCTCCTCCTCCCTAGTACACATGAAGAGAAGTCTCAGAAAGGGCCGAGATACTCCCCCAAGATCACCAGCCATGGAGGAACAAGGAAGGACAGAAGCCTAACCCAGACACACAAGACTAGTCCAGACACGCAAGATCTCAGATTCCTCAGCCTTATAGAGAAGCTATGTAAGAAACACGACAAAAATGGGGGTCATTTTAACTTCCCATTCAGGGCTGTGGTGGAGCCAAATCCCACTAACAACACAACGCAACCAAGACTAGGGACCCAGGTTTCCACAGAGCCTTTCTCCGAGGTCCCTACCTACCTCCACTTTCCCCAAGCAAAACAGAAAGGAACTTGCTAATTGCCAGTGGTTACAAGGAATTCCTGACAAGGTAAGGCGGGGACTGGCTCCGAGGCAAGCCTCTGCCCCATTCTGTCCTCCGAAAGGCTCAGAAGACTTGCTTACCTGGTTGGCGCTTACTAGTTGGAGACTGGAGAGTAGGCAGAAGAGCAAGGTGAAGGCGCGGTCCAGGACTCTGGCATCCGGCATCCTGGCAAGGGGTCTGCTGAGCTTCGGTGTGAAAGAAAGAAGTGACAGAGCACCACCTTTACAACTTCCCTCCACCTATGGGGCCCAGCCTCGAAACGGGGGCGGAGCTAACACACCTGAGCTGGGCCAGACTGAGGCTTCTAGCCCGGAGCTCAGGTAGAATAGTAGTGGAGAGGAGCTGAACTTGTTTGAGTTTGAGGAGTGGGACGTGGGATGGGTTGGTTTAAGAACGCAGTAAGCTGGATGTAGCAGAGCACTATGGGAATCCCTCTTCCAAGCCGCATTTAAGTAGTTAGAGCAGGGCGTGGCGATGCCAACCTTTAATCCCAGAACCCAGAACATCTCAGTGAGTTCAACACCAGTATGAACTACCTAATGAGATCCAGGCCAGCCAGTATTAAATAATAATAGAAAGTAGTAATAGTAAATAAAATAAAAAAGCTGGGTGATGGTGGCACACACCTTTAGTCCCAACACCCGGGAGACAGATGCAGGCAGATCTCTGTGAGTTCAAAGCCATCCTGGTCTAAAGAGTGAGTTGCAGAACAGCCAGGATCACAGAGAAATCCTATCTCAAAACAACAACAACAACAACAACAACAACAAAACAAAACAAAAAAGAAAAGGAAGAGAACAAGGTGGGGGCAATCTGGGAAGATGACTCAGGGGTTAAGAGCACTTGTCATTGGATCTGGATTGGGTTTCCAGCATCTACATATATGATGGCTCTCAAGCAAGCAAGTGAGGACACCCACTTCTGAACTCTGAGGGCATCAGGCATACACATGGTACATATACATATATGCAATAAAAATATATACATAAAATGAAATAACTAAACCTTAAACAAAAAAACAAAACAAAACAAAAAAATCAGCAGGGCCAGTCTGATGAGCCATTGAATAAAGGTTTTTACCACCAAGCCTGAAAACCTGAATTTTGATTTTTTTTTTTTTTTTTTTTTTTTTTTTTGGTGTGTGTGTGTGTGTTTTGAGACAGGATTTCTTTACATAGACTTTGCTGCCCTGGAACTCACTACCAGGCTGGCCTCAAACTCAGAGATCTGCCTGCCTCAGCCTCTGAGTGCTGGGATTAAAGGTGTAGGTTACCACCAGCTGGTAGGTAGATTTTTTTCCCCCCTCCGGTTGTTTTTATTTTTGGAGATAGAGTCTCTCTGTGTAGCCCTGGCTGTCCTGGAACTTGCTCTGTAGATTAGGCTAACTTTGAACTCAGAGATCAACTTGCCTCTGTCTTCCAGGGATGGAATTGAAGGTGTGTGCCACCACTACCCAGAATAAAAATACCTTTAAGCCAGGCATTGGTGGTGCACACCTTTAGTCCCAGCACTAGGGAGACAGGCATGCAGATCTCTGTGAGTTCGAGGCCAGCATGGTCTACAGAGCTAGTTCCAGGACAGCTTCCAAAGCCACAGAGAAAATAAAAAAAATTGAGAGAACATCTCAAGACTACTGAATTATGCTTTATCTCACACAAAAGGAGGGGTGCTGTACCTGCCCAGAGATGTGAGGCATGCAAAGGGAGGTAGGCAAAGATTTAGTCAGGCAAGAAGCAAGAGGGATAGTGGGGACAGTGGTGGTGGTGGTGAGGTCATTTAAACAGTGCATTCCTTTGTGCTTTGCCCAAGAAGGGAGGAAAAGGCTAGCATAGCATTCCCATTATTGAGACAATGAGTGTCGCTTCACCTTTGCAACTTTGTGGGGAGTTGCTGGTTCATTTCCTTTCTGATTAAAGAAAAATTGAGGCTAAAGACTTACTTAGGAAACTGAGGCTAAGAACTTGTCCATTGCGGTCAAAAAGCGGGTGCCTCAGCCAGCACAGGCAGACCAGGTGAGAGTCCTGGTAGGACTCGGGCGGTCAGAGTCCGGCCGCCAGGTGGCAGCATCGCCCAGCGCAGAGGTGCGCGCAGGGATCCGGGATTTGACTAGGGAGGCCTCAAG